GGCAGTAAGTTTGGGTTGTGCTAATGTTCATGGGTGGTTGGCGGGGGCAGTAAGTTTGGGTTGTGCTAATGTTCATGGGTGGTTGGCGGGGGCAGTAAGTTTGGGTTGTGCTAATGTTCATGGGTGGTTGGCGGGGGATCTACTATGGTTTACTTCTTCTTTCCTATCAAACATCTATCGTCCTTATCTTCCCTTCTTCTTTATTATGTTTGTTACTCTCTTGTAACACCTCTAATCTTCTGGTGCTCATATGACCTTATGCAGTTGCGAGCGCCGTAAAACCTCTAGTAAAACAAACAAACAGATTTCTCGCTGGGGTTGGTGCAACAGCAGTAGGCTTATATCCTACATGAGAGGGTTTCTGTGTCTGTGGGTAAGCTTGGTCCGTAGGTGGTTGGCGGGTGCTCTGGTGTAGTTTGCTACTTCTTTCCTATTAAACATCCATCGTCCTTCTCTCTTCCTCCTTCTTTTTTATGTTTGTTACTCTCTTGTAACACCTCTAATCTTTTGGCGCTCATATGACCTTATGCAGTTGCGAGCGCCATAAAACACTCACCAAAACAAAATCTAAAATTCTCCTCTCCCCCCCAGGTATCTGTTCCGTAGCGGTAACACGGACCACCCCGGCGACGTGTTCCACAACACCACGGTCGAGCTACAGGTCCAGACGGTGCCCAGCTCTAGCGTTCTGGACGGCATCGCCGCTCACTCCGACCTGGCTGCCTCAGAGGTGGCGCACGCCTCCGACGGCTTCCTCGCCATCGGCCGCTTCAACGACCTTGGCCTTGCCCAGGGCGAGATCCCTGAGAGCGTGGGGCCCGTTCATACTGTGCGGCTTCACATTCACGAAAATTCCAACGCCTGGGTGATATTAAGTGAAGTGAGTAGATGCGTTATAACCAAAGATCGTACATAACAAGATAGTTCACTCCTCTCTTTGAGCCAATTTAAAAGTGTCCTCAAAATTCAGTACTGTCTTTGTTGTCTTCCTAGTTTCTATATTTATATTGCGAGTTTGTAATTTTGTCTACGTTACTCTCTTGTAACATCAATTCTTCGGCACTTATATGACCTTATTGTGTTGCAAGTGCCGTAAAACTCTTACTAAAACTAAACTAAATGTTGTGTTTACCTCTCTCCCTCAGATCATGATAAAAGAGAGCAAGAGGTAGCGACGTCCCAGTGGGTGGGAGGCTGCGACGTCTGGTCTGTCTGTCGGAGATTTCCCAGCTCAGCGTGGCAGGAAGGAGCATAATGAGACGCATAATCTGAGTGTGTGTGTGTGTGTGTGCATGTGTGTGTGTATTGTGTGTGTTGTGTCTGTGTTGTGCGTGTGTGTGTGTATTGTGTGTGTTGTGTCTGTGTTGTGCGTGTGTGTGTGTATTGTGTGTGTTGTGTATTTGTGTGTTGGTTTGTTTTCCTTTGTGAGTGTGTGTGTTGTGCGTGTGTGTGTGTGTATTGTGTGTGTGTGTATTGTGTGTGTTTGTGTGTTTGTTTTCATGCATGTAGATGAGAAAGAGAGAGGACATATGGTCGCTTTTAAGGACAAGCGGGCTAACCCAGATTTTTGGGGGTTTCCAGAAATCTTGACCTACACCAAAATTGGGCGTTGCCCTACCTGTAGGAGAAGTTTGCTGTCTTTGGTGTGAATATTTGTTTAGTTATAGAGAAAACTTTCCTTGTCTTTTAAAGAAACTGAACAAGGGGCAAAAACTTTACCCCTATTTCTCAAAACATCATTTTTCAGGATAGCCCCCTTGTGCTTAAAAGCGGCCATATTATGTTCATGAATGTGTGAGTGGGTGTCTGTTCATAACTTGGCTGTAATAATGATGATGATGATAATAGATGGCCTTTGTATAGCTCTCTGTTCCATACGAGTATATAAGCTCAGATATAAGCTCCGAGCGCTAGGTAGAGTTGGTGTAGGAGAAAGATATATATAAAAGAAAGAGGGAGTACATTGTTGGTGCATGTTTCTGCCTTTGTTTGTTTGGGTGTGTGAGGAAAGATACTGTTCACATTTATTTACTTTGTGTTCTTATTCCTGAGAAAGCTTACATTGATGCGTTCATGTGTGTACGTACGTGTGTGTGTACGTACATATGTGTGTACGTCGATTTGATAAGCAGAACCTGTCTGTATACGTGTGTGTACGTCGATTTGATAAGATTATGAGTCCGTATGTACGAGAACACCCTCTGACTGCAGTAAGAAATGAGAGAGCGTGCAAGTGGGTGGTGTTTCCGAAATGACACTTGACTGTTACTTAAGTTATTGTGTGGCCCGTAGTTCTCGGGACTCGCAGTTCTACCCCCTCCCCCCCTCCATGTCTTTGTACCATAAGTGGCTCTGACCAAATATGCGGTTTCAGTATTATGGTCCTGTTTGTAGATTTGCTCTACTCGATGGTTTGAGAGATGTTGTCTTTTTTGACAAGCTTCCAGAGCTTTTTATTGCCGTTGTAGTCACAAAAACGTGTCGTTCATGGCTTGTCTGTCGTGCTGTGAGAATGAATCACCTGTTGTGAAGGCCAGTGTGTCACACATGCGTGTTGTCATCGTCATTGGTCTAATGGTGTGTCACACATGTGTGTTGTCATCGTCATTGATCTAATGGTGTGCCAGTGTCGTCATTGATCTAATGGTGTGCCAGTGTGTCATCGTCATTGATCTAATGGTGTGCCGGTGTGTCATTGATCTAATGGTGTGTCATCGTCATTGATCTAATGGTGTGTGTGTTGTCATCGTCATTGATCTAATGGTGTGTGTGTTGTCATCGTCATTGATATAATGGTGTGCCAGTGTTGTCATTGATCTAATGGTGTGTCATCGTCATTCATCTAATGGTGTGTCACCCATGTCATCGTCATTGATCTAATGGTGTGCCAGTGTGTCATTGATCTAATGGTGTGCCAGTGTGTCATCGTCATTGATCTAATGGTGTGTCACACACCCGTGTTGTCTTCGTCATTGGTCTAATGGTGTGTCACACACCCGTGTTGTCATCGTCATTGGTCTAATGGTGTGTCACACACCCGTGTTGTCATCGTCATTGGTCTAATGGTGTGCCCGTGTGTCATCGTCATTGATCTAATGGTGTGTGTGTTGTCATCGTCATTGATCTAATGGTGTGTCACACACCCATGTTGTCATCTGCATTGGTCTAATGGTGTGCCAGTGTCGTCATTGATCTAATGGTGTGTCACACACCCGTGTTGTCATCGTCATTGGTCTAATGGTGTGCCAGTGTGTCATCGTCATTGGTCTAATGGTGTGCCAGTGTGTCATCGTCATTGGTCTAATGGTGTGTCACACACCCGTGTTGTCATCGTCATTGGTCTAATGGTGTGCCAGTGTGTCATCGTCATTGGTCTAATGGTGTGCCAGTGTGTCATCGTCATTGATCTAATGGTGTGCCAGTGTGTCATCGTCATTGATCTAATGGTGTGTCACACACCCGTGTTGTCATCGTCATTGGTCTAATGGTGTGCCAGTGTGTCATCGTCATTGGTCTAATGGTGTGCCAGTGTGTCATCGTCATTGGTCTAATGGTGTGCCAGTGTGTCATCGTCATTGATCTAATGGTGTGCCAGTGTGTCATCGTCATTGATCTAATGGTGTGCCAGTGTGTCATCGTCATTGATCTAATGGTGTCATCCTTTGCTGTTGTTCTCCGACTGTAGCTTCGAGGAAATCCACACAAGAATGTTCTCTGTACTGCCTGGATGAATCAAGCCCTGCATTCCAAACTATACTTACACAGCACTCGAATCAAACGATAGTCCATAATTTTATGATACTTGGCCTATTATATGACATTTTTATCCTGCATTTTTTGTTTTCCATTCGTAAATCCCACTACCATTTTGTGTGTGTCCCAGTGGTGAAGAAAGAGATTTATTTATTTGTTCAGACTTTTCCGTGAGATCGTCTGATGGTACCAACTCTGAACTTTGAGTTATGTGGACGTTGTACTCGGTTCGTATGTAATGTTGTATCGTTAAGTTTAGGTCTGTGTCAATTTTAGCGTTTGAATTTTCCTTTCCACCGAGTTATGGCGTTGATCAAGTATGTCGTAAGTGCATTTTGCTGTCCACGTACGGAGTATTCAGATGCTTTCAAGAAAATTAAATGTGGAAAAAAACATGTTTTTTTTCTACTCATGCCCCCGTCTCACGTGGATCTCCACGTTTCTTATACTTTTTTTCTAGTAGTTTTTTGCATGCTGAACAGGAATATGGCCTTCATTTTTGCCGCAAATCAAAGTTATTGAATTATTGATGTTTGAAAACGGAAATATATTACAATAGGATAAATGGCAAAGAATGTTTAAATTGTTTTTAACAACATTGGGGGGGGGGGGCATGCCCCCATGAGCTAAAGAGAATCTGAGGGTGTTTCAGGGGGGGGGGGGGCATTCCCCCCCTGCATTTCACAATGATTTGATGTTTTGGCAATTAGGATTGATATTTACTTGAAAACAATTGGTTTGCAAGGGTTCTAGTGGCCATGCGTGTGTTGTGCTGCTAAAGTTATGGCAGTTTAGCCCTCTAATCAATGCATCTGTGTGTGGGTGAATAAGTAAATATTTACCAAAAAACGTTTTTATGTCTATTACTATTGCGTGTTCTAGCCTCTTGATTTTTACAGTTCATGTTTAGTTTGTCAGGAATTATTCATGCAAATTAGAATGTGAGAGCTGGTTTTAACGATTGTGCTCAGGTCAAAATGTCTTAAGAGTTTTCAAATTTTGTTCCGTACATGGATAGCGAACTGCGATGACGATGTTTTTTTGCTCCGATGTTTCCTTGTCCTCAACCGATCAGTTTGAGTGGGGGGAGAGAGAGAGAGAGAGAGAGAGAGAGAGAGAGAGAGAGAGAGAGAGAGAGAGAGAGAGAGAGAGGAGAGAGAGAGAGAGAGAGAGAGAGAGAGAGAGAGAGAGAGAGAGAGAGAGAGAGGAGAGAGAGAGAGAGAGAGAGAGAGAGAGAGAGAGAGAGGCTCGTTTCAGCTGACCAAACTATTAATCGGGAAAGCAGAATATGTGGAATGATGTACTAAGGAAATTTTATGGGGTCTGTATATTCAGCTTTTCTGAAACTTTTATTGAGTTCGGGGGTTACAAAATAATGGCTGGCTCAAAAACAACATAAACAGTGGATGGAAGAACAGGAATTTGCATAGCTTATTTATTTTCTTTTTTAGAATGGATTGGTGAGCGTGCAGACAAAATGTGTTGTGTGACTTCCCGGGTTTTGGACCTCTTGACAAATGAACGTCAAATTTATAGATTGAGATTGTACGAAATGTTCGTCAGAAATGGTGATAAACATGATGAAAATGGCATTAGTTAAAAATTAAAAAATGTGACCTTTGTATTTATATTTGGCCGACATTTGTGATGCATCGTGGTGAAATCAGGCGCTGGTCAAAATAATGAAATCAAAGATGTCGGCATTGTTTTGGGCCGATTGGCTATTTTTTCGTACATGTTTTTTTATTTTTGTTCAATGCCTTTTAGGTCCATTTAAGCACACATTTTTTGTGGATTTTACAGAAAAACATTGATTAAAGGCACAAAAAATGCAAATGTTGAGTTTCCAAGGACTCTCAGGTTATGGAAGTAACCAAACTTTGGCGGCTATTTTCTCGCTGATTTTACCTCTTTAACCAGGTGACCCTGACCTCCTTCAGTGGCAAATATTTCGACTACTGTTCAACATAGATGGACATTTTTGTTCACCAAAAGGAAGACAAAAGAACAGGCTTGAAGATGATACCAATAACTCAATGTGCCCCAAAATTGACGAGCGCTTGATTCCACCGCGTCGTGACACATTTCCTTTCACAAGTTGTTCATTTTGTCAGCTGGTCGCACGATGAGTTTCTCCAGCCGTTCTGTTGTTAGGACCCTTCCAACTTACCTAGTGGGTGGGTGGCGGGTGCTCCTTCTTTCCTATCAAACATCTATCATCCTTTTCTCCTCTCCTTTTTTTATGTTTGTTACTCTCTTGTAACACCTCTAATCTTCTGGCGCTCATATGACCTTATGCTGTTGCGAGAGCCGTAAAACCTCTACTAAAACTAAAACTAACTTAGCTAGTTCTTGTCTGACAAGGTGGTTTTTTTTGTCCTACATGGTTTTTACGCATCAGGTCACAGACTATTCTAAGTCTGTGCTTGGACATGCATTTATTCTATTATGGTCGCTGTGAAGGACAAGCATTTATTCTATTATGGTCGCTGTGAAGGACAAGCGGGCTGACCCAGATTTCCTGGGTTTTTCTCTTCTTCTTCTTCTTTGTGTTTGTCACTCTCGTGTTACACCTCTAATCTTCAGCACTTGTGTGACCTTATTGTGTTGCAAGTGCCGTAAAACTCTGACTAAAATAAAACCCCACACACAGGGTTCCTGAAACATAGATAAAAGAGGCATTTAGCAATTCCACAGTTTTCTGAGAATTGCTTCGTCATCGGGATAACGACTTTTACAGAACGCCTTTGCGTAT